TCGCGCGCACTGCGAGACGAGCAGCCCGTGTGACCGCGCGACGAGCAGCGGAGGAGCCCGCGCGACGAGCAGCGGAGGAGCCCGCGCGACGAGCAGCGGTGGAGCCCGCGCGACGAGCAGCGGGGGAGCCCGCGCGACGAGCAGCGGGGGAGCCCGCGCGACGAGCAGCGGGGGAGCCCGCGCGACGAGCAGCGGGGGAGCCCGCGCGACGAGCAGCGGGGGAGCCCGCGCGACGAGCAGCGGGGGAGCCCGCGCGACGAGCAGCGGGGGAGCCCGCGCGACGAGCAGCGGGGGAGCCCGCGCGATGAGCAGCGGAGGAGCCCGCGCGACGAGCAGCGGAGGAGCCCGCGCGACGGAAAGCGGAGGAGCCCGCGCGCGTAGCAGCGGAGGAGCTCGCGAGACGAGGGGCCGTCCTGCCCGCGCGCGTATCTGCGGAGGAGCTCGCGAGACGTGGGGCGGAGGAGCCCGCGTGCGTAGCAGCGGAGGAGCCAGCGCGCGGGACGAAGGGGAGGAGCCCGTGCGACGAGCGCGCGCTGCTCGCGACACGCCGCTCACACGTGGGGTCACCGGGCTATGACCCCCGCTCGCGAGTGTCTTGGGGGGGCTGCGCACTGAAGGGGATCGCGGGGCAGCAACCGCGCGTGAAGGATCGATCAAGAGGTTACAACAGGTGAGACCCGAATTCCCTGAAAGTGGATTATTGTATTTACAGCGAGTTGCTGCTGCCTCGGGGTCCGACATGCTACTGTTCGAGCGCAAGGCACAATGCACGCACCTGTGCATTTCTCAAAGGAGAGGCAACCAATGTTGCTTCAGCCTTGGGCCTGCTGTCACCACAACGCATGCACCTGTACTGTCCCAGTGGCAGCACACGCCCCTACAGGTCGCTCGAAAGGAGAGCCAGGTGAGTGCCCAATTCCCAGCCAACCATTGCTGCTGCCTTGGGGGTCCTATCATGCTCACGACTCCCCGAGGCAACGGCAGCAGCAACCATCAACAATGGGGGCTGCTGCCTTTGCCGGTCCTATCACGCTCATGTGACCGAGGCAAAGGCACCAGCAACCATCAACAAAGGTTGCTGCTGCCTTTGCCTGTCCTATCACGCTCACGTGTCCGAGGCAAAGGCAGCATCAACCATCAACAGTGGTTGCTGCTGCCTTTGCCGGTCCTATCACGCTCAATGTGACCGAGGCAAAGGCACCAGCGACCATCTACGAGGGTTGCTGCTGCCTTTGCCGGTCCTATCACGCTCACGTGTTCGAGGCAAAGGCAGCAGTGACCATCAACAATGGTTGCTGCTGCCTTTGCCTTGCCGGACCTATCACACTCGTGTGTCCGAGGCAAAGGCAGCAGCAATAAAAGAACAATGTGATGCTGCTGCCTTTGCCCCTCCTATCATGCTCGAGGCAAAGGCAGCAGCAACCATCAACAATGGGGGCTGCTGCCTTTGCCAGTCCTATCACGCTCATGTGACCGAGGCAAAGGCACCAGCAACCATCAACAAAGGTTGCTGCTGCCTTTGCCTGTCCTATCACGCTCACGTGTCCGAGGCAAAGGCAGCATCAACCATCAACAATGGTTGCTGCTGCCTTTGCCTTGCCGGACCTATCACACTCGTGTGTCCGAGGCAAAGGCAGCAGCGACCATGAACAATGTGATGCTGCTGCCTTTGCCCCTCCTACCATGCTTGAGGCAAAGGCAGCAGCAACCATCAACAATGGTTGCAGCTGCCTTTGCCTTGCCGGACCTATCACACTCGTGTGTCCTAGGCAAAGGCAGCAGCGACCATGAACAATGTGATGCTGCTGCCTTTGCCCCTCCTATCATGCGCGAGGCAACGGCAGCAGCAACCATCAACAATGGGGGCTGCTGCCTTTGCCGGTCCTATCACGCTCATGTGACCGAGGCAGAGGCACCAGCGACCATCAACAAAGGTTGCTGCTGCCTTTGCCTGTCCTATCACGCTCATGTGACCAAGGCAAAGGCACCAGCGACCATCAACAAAGGTTGCTGCTGCCTTTGCCTGTCCTATCACGCTCACGTGTCCGAGGCAAAGGCAGCATCAACCATCAACAGTGGTTGCTGCTGCCTTTGCCGGTCCTATCACGCTCAATGTGACCGAGGCAAAGGCACCAGCGACCATCTACGAGGGTTGCTGTTGCCTTTGCCGGTCCTATCACGCTCACGTGTTCGAGGCAAAGGCTGCAGTGACCATCAACAATGGTTGCTGCTGCCTTTGCCTTGCCGGACCTATCACACTCGTGTGTCCGAGGCAAAGGCAGCAGCGACCATGAACAATGTGATGCTGCTGCCTTTGCCCCTCCTATCATGCTTGAGGCACAGGCAGCAGCAACCATCAACAATGGTTGCTGCTGCTGTTGCCGGTCCTATCACGCTCATGTGACCGAGGCAAAGGCACCAGCGACCATCAACAATGGTTGCTGCTGCCTTTGCCTTGCCGGACCTATGAAACTCGTGTGTCCGAGACAAAGGCAGCAGCGACCATGAACAATGTGATGCTGCTGCCTTTGCCCCTCCTATCATGCTCGAGGCAACGGCAGCAGCAACCATCAACAATGGGGGCTACTGCCTTTGCCGGTCCTATCACGCTCATGTGACCGAGGCAAAGGCACCAGTGACCATCAACAAAGGTTGCTGCTGCCTTTGCCTGTCCTATCACGCTCACGTGTCCGAGGCAAAGGCACCATCAACCATCAACAATGGTTGCTGCTGCCTTTGCCCGTCCTATAATGCTCACGTGTCCGAGGCAAAGGCAGCAGCAACCATCAACAGCATTGCTGCTGCCTTTGCCGGTCCTATCACGCTCACGTGTCCGAGGCAAAGGCAGCATCAACCATCAACAAGGGTTGCTGCTGCCTTTGCCCGTCCTATAATGCTCACGTGTCCGAGGCAAAGGCAGCATCAACCATCAACAGTGGTTGCTGCTGCCTTTGCCGGTCCTATCACGCTCATCTCACCAGCCCTCGCCCAAGGCACAGCAAGCACTTGTTGCTGCTGCCTTGGGCCTGCATGCACTTGCATGCACACACCAGCCCACGCCCAAGGCAAAGCAACTCTTGTTGCTGCTGCCTTGGGCCTGCATGCACTTGCATGCACGCACCAGCCCTCGCCCAAGGCACAGCAAGCACTGGTTGCTGCTGCCATGGGCCAGCATGCACTTGCATGTACACACCAGCCCGAATCCAAGGCACAGCAACTCTTTTTACTGCTGCCTTGGGCCAGCATGCACTTGCATGCACACACCAGCCCACACTCAAGGCAAAGCAACTATGGTTGCCGCTGCCTTGGGCCAGCATCCAATTGCATGAACACACCAGCCCACGCCCAAGGCTTAGCAACTCTTGTTGCTGCTGCCTTGGGCCTGCTTGCACGTGCATGCACTCACCAGCCCACGCCCAAGGCACAGCAAGCACTTGTTGTTGCTGCCTTGGGCCTGCTTGCACTTGCATGCACTCACCAGCCCACAACCAAGGCACATCTTCCATAATTGGTGTTGCTTGTCGTTCTTTTGCGCATTTCTCACGATCCAAAGATCATGCAAACATTGACTCAGCCTTGCCCACCCCGGACCACCAACCTCTCACTCTCTCCTTGGGGTATGTGTGGACAGGCTTCCAAATGGCACATGAGGGTTTAGGGACCGGAGTGCATCCTGTAATACAAGCATGTAAAGATGCCCAACGAGGGACGGTCAACATTTCGGTCCACATGCGGCCATTTCTGTGTGTGCTCCGCGTGGGGCTCTCGGCTTTGTACTTCGGGAACAACATGGCGACGACGGATGATGTGATACATTTCTTGGCGGAGTCAGCACCTCAAGCGACCAAGCGACTTATTGAGGCGGGCCTTGCAGCAGGTAAATCTGAGGGATTTGGGTGGGCGTTTTAAGTGTGATGATATACACTGTTGGGAATCTTTACGTTGGAGGTGTTACACCAGTGAAATGTATCACATGCCTGTGCATTCTCTGCTTTACAGATCCTGCTGCAAACGACACACAAACCGGCGTGATTGTGGAGAGGCACCGAAAGGAGTACGGTCGTATCTTCAAGGAACACGCAAATGGAAGTATCGAGCACGTCGCTGACTTGCAGAAACGGCCTAATCGAGTTCTGGCTGGGCTGAGGTATTCTTTCCCGCTGGTGCAGTACGATGATCGCGGAAGACTGCGACAGGTTTCCGGTCGATCATGGGGAGGGGCTAGACGTGGCGCGGCATTTGCGGCGATGCGCAATTCAGGTGAGATCTGGAAGACGAATATGACGTGTGCTTGTATCGTATTTGAGTAATGACCGTCTTCCATTCATCATGCCCAATATGATACAGGGGCTAACCATGGAGGGGGTGGCAACGTCGTGAGGACCGAAGCGTCGGATGCGCCAGACGTGGGGATTGTGGAGGGAGCAGGCATGGATGCTGATGAGGGCGTAGCCATAGCTCGTGGAGATACTGAGGTGGCTGCGCCCACACCGTGCTCGACGACGACTCCAGAACGGCAAGGGCAGGGGTAAGATTAATGGGTGGGGCTTTATGCATACTTCGTTTCATAGTGCACTAACTTACATGTTATTGTACCCATGTCCAACCCTCCCCCGCCTTTCATGTCATATAGGCCTGCCAACAGCCACCGACGGGCAGTCGGGCGTGGGAGTGTCCCTAGGCACTGGCCTTCTGCTCCGAGTGTGGATGACATCGACAAGCAGCGGGTATGTCTTGTCGAGCCACGACAGTTGGTTGGGTTCTTCCAAGGGTGTCGACTGGTGTGTTCACATGAGCGCGCGTGTAGTGAGGGGATGACCTTACGATCATGGAAATTCTCATGGGCCTCGATCGGCATGTTTTGGAGATGTGACGCATGCTCGCATGGTGTAGAGTTCTGGACATGTCCGAGTCGGCGTATAGAGAAAGCACAGACCGGTGTAGGCGCGCGTTCTCCGATTCTACAGTCAAAATTTGTTGGTGCATTCGCTCTAGCCGGAATGGGGTACCAGCAAATGTGGGAGTTTTGTCGCAACTTTGGCTTGCCAGCACCGGGGAAGGGTACTTTTTACAAGTACCTTGGTGATGATAATGGGCTATGGAATGCTATTCTGCGAGAGGCTGACAAGTCTATGGCTGCTGTACGAGAGGAGATGATGAAGCGAGAAGTTCCTACAGAATATGTGGTGGTCGATGGTCGAAGGTCACATGTTCGTGAGGGAGAGTGGTGTACAGTATCGTTCCTAGATTTACCGTCTAGGAAGATAATGTACTGTGCCACGACACGAAAAGGGGTGGACGACACTTCTGCGGTGCGGCTGGAAAGGGTGGCTTTCGATAAAGGGTTAGATGAACTGGCGCATAAAGGATTTGTGGTGGAGGGGATCATCTCCGACCAAGGGACTACTTTTCGTGGCGCTGCGTCCGAAAGGGGATTGAACCACCAGGTGGACTGGTGGCATGTGAAGCGGACTCTGTACAAGTTGTTTCTGAAAGAACTCCAGGATGCGGTCCGTGCACCAGTGGCGGTGGACAATGCGAGCTGCATTGAGGATCTCTGGCTTGCGACTATCGCAGGGCTACGGGAATGGCTGACAGCACGGGGGTTGGCGGAGCAGGCGAAAGCTTCTTTGAAAGAGGCTTTGGTGAAAGCAGTTTGTGAAGCCATGGGCACGATTTTTTACAAAAAGATGACCCCGGAAGAGGCGAAATGGAAGTTTCCTGAGCTAAGAAAGGTGGTGCGGATGGGGGGGGAGTGTAGTACGGTGGAGGTGCCTGTGAATTATGGTGAGGTGCCAGGTGCTTCTGATGCTGATGCGCGGGAGCGGGACGAGGGAGCCGAGCGGCCCGCCGTGGACGTGCCAACACGGGAGGAGTGGAACGTTGACGTGCAGTGGGAGGACGTGGAGGAACTATGGAGTTATGATGTGCACCCGACGCAGGGTGCGCGACCCGCATCTTTGGCGAGCACCCTCATCATGCTTGCGCACGCGGGCGCGAACGGAAACTCCCATTTCATCGGTGGATCCACTCCTTGGCCCAACCTAGACACTGGGACCGGTATGCGAGCACCCTCTACCCAAGTTTTGAGCATGCTTGATCAAAGTGCATCTCCATACTCAAATCTTGGCTTTCATTTTCTAACATTCACAGATGCGCTTGATGGAGGCGGAGCTGATACCGAAGTGCAGAACCCGAATGCGTTCAGCAAGCCCGAGACACTACCTCGGTGGACTGGTCGCCGAAAGCGTAAACGAGGTGAAGACCATATCGATTCTGGCAAGGAAGAACAAACTGTGGCACAACGCTTATCCTCCCATTTCTATCACGTGATGATGCGATGTGGTGCGATGAAGAAAGAGGGGCATCCTATGACCCCTGCTGACGTGGCGAGGGAGCTTGGGAGCCCACCCAACCACTGGGCAGGTGACCACTCCGGATGTGGTGGGGTAGGAGATACCCCACCTCGCTGCGTCAGAGAGGGGTGGGGCAAGGACCATGCCATTTACGAGTTTGGGTCATCGACACACAAGGCGGTTCGTGAGTGGTTCTCCAAGCACTTAAGCCCTGAGAAGGTGGAATCGTTTGTGCATGGTGCATCGAGTTCACTCAACGAGTCGTTTCATTCTTGATCATCAAGTACGCACCAAAGCGGATCAGGTTTCAGGGCAGTTTCCCGGCATGAGTCGGTCTCGCGGTTCTTCATTGGAATCACGGCATGGATCGTCTGGTGACCGCATATCGCACGAGAGTCCGGCAGGTGACGAGGATCCGACGCGGATCCAAGGAGCGCATCTTGACCCCGATGGATTGGGGCTGGGTTGATCGCATCATGGGAGAATGGCAACGATCACTGCGATTTGGAGATAGTGTAGATGTTGAAGGAACGCCGGACACCTCAGCGACGCCTGCGCAACCGGTCGAGGCTTCGATCGCACGACCCACTGCATCCGTACTGCAGCCCGAGACACCAGTGCGCCAAGGCGGGATGGGGCGTCGAGAGTGCGGCACGTCTCGTGGATCCGCACGCCATCGTTTGGGTAAGCAGCGGGGGCGCAAAGTGAATGGTGTCATTGAATCGGTACATGGCTCTTAGTCATGTCGTCAACATGCCATCCAGCGTAAGATGATCACCAATCCGCGTTTTTCGCTCCCTCTTATGTTGTTTGTAGGTGATGTGTCGAACCTCCCCCGCTAAGCGTTTGAGGCGAACATCTAGCGAGCTGTCAAACCCCCGCGAGGCTTGCTCGGCATCACACATAACCACAATGTCGCCTACCACAACAATCCACACCCCCCAAGGTATTTGATTAACACCCCACGCCCTATGTCAAAGCGCATCTAGAATCGATACAGCCATAAAGCCATGCCATGCTTGGTGCCTGTCGTGTCCTGGCCCCCATATCCCATCCTTGTTTGCTATCGCTAAGCATGCCATGCCATGCACTTCCATGACCAAGCACGCAACGCCATTGTGTGCTCTTTCTAATCTTGCAATGCCATCCCAGGACATGGGCGGCCATTTCCATGTTCGTGTGCCCTGTCATGCCATTCCCCGCACTTCCCTGCCCTGTCTTGCCCCGTTCACAACCTTGTCTGCACTCTATGTGCGTTCCATGCCATGCCTAGAGGGGCCATGCCATGCCCTGCTTTGTGCAGGCCCGCCTAAACCCTGGTTTGCTCCCAGGACATGAGTTGCCCTGTTATGCCCTTCCCTGCCCTGGCCTGTACTGCCCCGTCCCGCCCTTGTCTGCAACCTCTATGCAGGTCATGCCCTGCCTAGAGGGGCCATGCCCAGCGCTGCCTTGTTATGGCCCGCCCCACCCTGGTTTGCTCCATCCATACATGTCATACCATGCCCTGCCCTGCCCTGTCAGGCCCCGCCCCGCCCTTGTCCCCCCCCACCCCAGGCAGGCCCTACCTCTGCCATGCCCTGCCGTGGTGAGCGAGATGAGATTAGGTTTAGTGACAGGCTCACCACCAGCAAATATGGCTTATCATCCTTCTCATTGGCGATGATTGCAGGTTACCACTGTGAGAGGGATGTGGCTGAAACCTCATCGGATGTGGAAGAGTGGAGCGACAATAGTGATGAGTGGTGGGTAGAAGGCCGCTATGACGGAGAGGAGGTGGAGGTGTGGGTGGCAGGTCAGGATGAGTGAATGCTTTGTGTAACATCACCACTTCGCTGTTGTGGTCTTGAACATGCCATGCTTGAGGCGTTTTATTGGACCTTGCCGTTCTAGCCTAAACCTATATGTGATAGGATGGTAATAAGCTTGATGCAATCTGCATAGCGACAGCATGAAGGGCCGCTTGCACATATTATAGTTGCAATATACAATTTAGGCAGTTACACGTGCGACCCCAAATTAGCCCTGTGAACTGGCGCCGGTCGCCCATGCATACGACAAGTTATACTAATGCCAACCCCTCTAGCAGTCAGTGCAGTCTCTATCTGCGTGAAGGTTTGCTCCTCATGCTTCTGTACGCATAAACATGGGAATACCATGCTTCTGTTAGAGCGGCAGGTCATCTGGACCCACCTCCCTGAACATCAGCACCGGCTGCTGCTTACGAGCGCTCAAATTTCCTGAGTGGGTTGGGTGAGCTAGGGGAGAGATGATGGTGGGGCACGGATCTGTGTGGGGGAGAAGGACATGGTCGGGGATGGAAGGGACGAGCGGCCGGGTGTAGATCAGATCCTCTCTCAACAGCACTACAGTGCTGCTGCTGGCTGACGCACTTAGATCCTGAGTGGGTTCGGGGGAAGGTAGAGGAAGAAAGAGGGACCTGGAGGGAAGGGGGGATGGCAGTGGGTGCGTGTGGAGAAGCGGGGCACAGAAACAGGAGGTGAGGGGGTGTGGGAGAGGCGTGGCTGGGTGGATAGGCAAGCGGGAAAAACAAGGGTTCTGAGATATGGCTTCAGCATAAAACCATCAAACTAGCACATCATTCACAGCATCACAGAATCACAGCATCACAGAATCACAGCATCACAGAATCACAGCATCACAGAGTACAGCATCACAGAATCACAGCATCACAGCATCACAGCATCACAGAATCACAGCATCACAGAATCACAGCATCACAGAATCACAGCATCACAGAATCACAGCATCACAGCATCACAGAATCACAGAATCACTGCAACACAGAATCACAGCATCACAGCATCACAGAATCACAGCATCACAGAATCACAGCATCACAGAATCACAGCATCACAGAATCACAGCATTACATAATCACAGAATCACAGCATCACAGCATCACAGCATCACAGAATCACAGCATCACAGCATCACAGAATCACAGAATCACAGCATCACAGCATCACAGAATCACAGCATCACAGAATCACAGCATCACAGAATCACAGCATCACAGAATCACAGCATCACAGAATCACAGCATCACAGAATCACAGCCCCACAGAATCACAGCATCAGAGAATCACAGCATCAAAGAATCACAGCATCACAGAATCATAGCATTACATAATCACAGAATCACAGCATCACAGCATCACAGCATCACAGAATCACAGCATCACAGCATCACAGAATCACAGAATCACAGCATCACAGCATCACAGAATCACAGCATCACAGAATCACAGCATCACAGAATCACAGCATCACAGAATCACAGCATCACAGAATCACAGCATCACAGAATCACAGCCCCACAGAATCACAGCATCAGAGAATCACAGCATCAAAGAATCACAGCATCACAGAATCACAGCATCACAGAATCACAGCATCACGGGATCACAGCATCACAGAATCACAGCATCACAGCATCACAGCATCACAGAATCACAGCATCACAGAATCACAGCATCACAGAATCACAGCATCACAGAATCACAGCATCACAGAATCACAGCATCACAGAATCACAGCCCCACAGAATCACAGCATCAGAGAATCACAGCATCAAAGAATCACAGCATCACAGAATCACAGCATCACAGAATCACAGAATTACAGCATCACAACATCAAGGCAGCATTACAGAATCACAGAATCACAGCATCACAGCATCACAGAATCACAGCATCACAGCATCACAGCATCACAGAATCACAGCATCACAGAATCACAGCATCACAGAATCACAGCATCACAGAATCACAGCATCACAGAATCACAGAATCACAGCATCAGAGAATCACAGCATCAAAGAATCACAGCATCAAATAATCACAGCATCATAGAATCACAACATCACAGAATCACAGAATCACAGCATCACAACATCAAGGCAGCATTACAGAATCACAGAATCACGGCATCACAGCATCACAGCATCACAGAATCACAGCATCACAGCATCACAGCATCACAGAATCACAGCATCACAGCATCACAGCATCACAGAATCACAGCATCACAGAATCACAGCATCACAGAATCACAGCATCACAGAATCACAGCATCACAGAATCACAGCATCACAGAATCACAGCATCACAGAATCACAGCATCAGAGAATCACAGCATCAAAGAATCACAGCATCACAGAATCACAGCATCACAGAATCACAGCATCACAGAATCACAGCATCACAGAATCACAGAATCACAGCATCACAGCATCACAGCATCGTGCTATCACAGCATCACCAACCGTAATGGTACCTGGTGTTTGTGATGCCCTTCACCACACCCTGACTGAGCATTTCTTCGCCCTTCTCCCAACCATACGACACCTCTATACACCACGCATCACCACACCACACCAAACCGATCATTACCTGGATAGCTGTACTGATGAGGGGAGACGTGCAGGAAGAGGTGGTGGTTGGGGAGGTGGAAGAGGCGGATGAAGCGGGTGGCTATGAGGGGGGAAGGCGGGTGGTGTGTGGGGGGCTGTGGAGGTGGGTATGAGGGTGGAAGGCGGGTGGTGTGTGGGGGGCTGTGGAGGTAGGTATGAGGGGGGAAGGCGGGTGGTGTGTGGGGGGCTGTGGAGGTAGCTATGAGGGGGGAAGGCGGGTGGTGTGTGGGGGGCTGTGGAGGTAGCTATGAGGGGGGAAGGCGGGTGGTGTGTGGGGGGATATGGAGGTGGCTATGAGGGGGGAAGGCGGGTGGTGTGTGGGGGGATATGGAGGTGGCTATGAGGGGGGAAGGCGGGTGGTGTGTGGGGGGCTGTGGAGGTGGGTATGAGGGTGGAAGGCGGGTGGTGTGTGGGGGGCTGTGGAGGTAGGTATGAGGGGGGAAGGCGGGTGGTGTGTGGGGGGCTGTGGAGGTAGCTATGAGGGGGGAAGGCGGGTGGTGTGTGGGGGGATATGGAGGTGGCTATGAGGGGGGAAGGCGGGTGGTGTTTGGGGGGGTATGGAGGTGGCTATGAGGGGGGAAGGCGGGTGGTGTGTGGGGGGCTGTGGAGGTAGCTATGAGGGGGGAAGACGGGTGGTGTGTGGGGGGCTATGGAGGTAGCTATGAGGGGGGAAGGCGGGTGGTGTGTGGGGGGCTGTGGAGGTGGCTATGAGGGGGGAAGGCGGGTGGTGTGTGGGGGGCTGTGGAGGTGGCTATGAGGGGGGAAGGCGGGTGGTGTGTGGGGGGATATGGAGGTGGCTATGAGGGGGGAAGGCGGGTGGTGTTTGGGGGGGTATGGAGGTGGCTATGAGGGGGGAAGGCGGGTGGTGTGTGGGGGGATATGGAGGTGGCTATGAGGGGGGAAGGCGGGTGGTGTGTGGGGGGATATGGAGGTGGCTATGAGGGGGGAAGGCGGGTGGTGTGTGGGGGGATATGGAGGTAGCTATGAGGGGGGAAGGCGGGTGGTGTGTGGGGGGCTGTGGAGGTGGTCATGAGGGTGGAAGGCGGGTGGTGTGTGGGGGGATATGGAGGTGGCTATGAGGGGGGAAGGCGGGTGGTGTGTGGGGGGCTGTGGAGGTGGCTATGAGGGGGGAAGGCGGGTGGTGTGTGGGGGGATATGGAGGTGGCTATGAGGGGGGAAGGCGGGTGGTGTGTGGGGGGATATGGAGGTGGCTATGAGGGGGGAAGGCGGGTGGTGTTTGGGGGGGTATGTAGGTAGCTATGAGGGGGGAAGGCGGGTGGTGTGTGGGGGAATATGGAGGTAGCTATGAGGGGGGAAGGCGGGTGGTGTGTGGGGAGCTGTGGAGGTGGCTATGAGGGGGGAAGGCGGGTGGTGTGTGGGGGGCTGTGGAGGTAGCTATGAGGGGGGAAGGCGGGTGGTGTGTGGGGGGCTGTGGAGGTGGCTATGAGGGGGGAAGGCGGGTGGTGTGTGGGGGGCTGTGGAGGTAGCTATGAGGGGGGAAGGCGGGTGGTGTGTGGAGGGATATGGAGGTAGCTATGAGGGGGGAAGGCGGGTGGTGTGTGGGGGGCTGTGGAGGTAGCTATGAGGGGGGAAGCGGGTGGTGTGTGGGGGGCTGTGGAGGTGGCTATGAGGGTGGAAGGCGGGTGGTGTGTGGGGGGATATGGAGGTGGCTATGAGGGGGGAAGGCGGGTGGTGTGTGGGGGGCTGTGGAGGCAGCTATGAGGGGGGAAGGCGGGTGGTGTGTGGGGGGATATGGAGGTGGCTATGAGGGGGGAAGGCGGGTGGTGTTTGGGGGGGTATTAGGTGGCAGCAGCAGCAGGAGGAGGAGGAGCTGGTGCCTGAGTTGACTGATGAAAAAGAGCCGGTGCAACAAGGTGCCTGAATTTGTGACCTTTTCCTTTTCCCCACCTGCCCGAAAATTTGTGCAAAAGCACAGGAAGAAATGAACGAAGAGTCGACCCACATCTACAGTGTTCAGCGATGGTTACCACATAACCTGGCTGTTGTGAGTGCCGCTGATGGTGCAATGGGCTGCGGTGCAAGAGAGAGCAGGTGAGAATTCGATTAAAGCATCAGAGTACGAGGATGCTACTACCATTTCCTATGCTGAGCACGCACAAGCTACCTCAATAGCATGTGCTAAGTGAGCCACAGTGTAACTCGGCTCTTCTCTGTGTTGCTGATGCCATGGGCATCAGTGTAAGACAGAGCAGGTGTGTAAGTGGGTGTGTGAGTCCAGCCATGCCATAATCCCGTTCTCCGCCTTATGCAGTCTAATTGTCGTCCAGCCCCCGTCCATTTGACTCAAAATCCATTGTAGAAGGTTCTACTTACCGTCACGCATCAATGCTGCCCCTCCCCCCGTCACCATGTTTTATTCCGCTTCCCCCCTCTGCATGCAGTCTGAGTGCCATTCAGCCCCCACCAATCTGCCTCAAAAGCCCTTGTAGACAACGTCCCCACCCTCCCACACACGTCACTGCTGCCTCCCCCTGTCCCACCGCCGTTTGGTTTCCCCCTATCCACTATGTAGTCTGAGTGCCAACCAGCCCCTACCCATTTACTCACATCATTGTCGCCTCCTTGTCCCACACCACCGTGTTTCTCCACCTCCCTCCACCCCCCCTGCATCTGAGTAATGTCCAAACCCCACCAATCTGCATGGAAACACTCTCCAAATGGCCCCACCCGTCCGCACATATCACTGCCGCCTCCCCCATGCCCTCCCATTCTGCTGTTGTTGCTGTTGCTGCAGCTGCTGCTGCTGCTGCTGCTCCTCCTCCTCCTCCTCCTCCTCCTCCTCCTCCTCCTCCTCCTCCTCCTCCTCCTCCTCCTCCTCCTCCTCCTCCTCCTCCTCCTCCTCCTCCTCCACCTCCTCCTCCTCCTCCTCCTCCTCCTCCTCCTCCTCCTCCTCCTCCTCCTCCTCCTCCTCCTCTTCCTCCTCCTTTTCCTCGTCTTCTTGTTGCTGCTAGTGGTGGTGCCATTAAGAAAAGTCAGCATGGCGAGCATCCAAGTCGAGAGGCAGGAATCAAGCAGGAGACGGAAGGAAGCAAGCAGCCAGTGCAGCAAGCGAGACAACCGAAGCAGACAGAGCCCATGGGGGTTTTGACGCCAGGCCAGCAAGGGGTTGTGTGGCTAGAGGAGACTGACAACCTGGATGTGCCTGTTTTGCCAGCTGCTGCTACTGTTGGTGCTGATGGGAGTAGTAAGCGAGAAGATAGAGGGGCAAAAAAAGCCAATGCTGGCGGTGCTTCTGGTGGATCTGCTATTGGAGAGAAGGGGAAGAAAAACACCCTTATGGGCATGTGGAAGAAATCAAAGCCCCAGGGCGAAGCGAAGGGAGAAGGAGCTAAAAATGCAGATTTATGGCATGGCTGACGTGGACACATTGAGGAGGGACCACCTGGTGGAGCTGCTGGACATTGATCTGACGTGGCGCATGCACCGTGCTTCAGATGGGCAGAGGAGGCGGGTGCAAATATGCATAATCCTGCTGCGACCCTTCCAGGTGAGCTGCTGCTGATGAGCCCTGGTTCTGGCAAGAACAGCTGAGTGAATCTGTTGTTGCATTTTGACCTCCTATGGATCATGCACTGTAGGCAGGGTGGGCAGAGGAGGCGAGTGCAGATAAGCATGGGGCTGCTGTGACCCTTACAGGTGAGATGTCGCTGATGGACCCTGATTCTGGCCAGAATCTCCATGTGGAGTTGGTGTTGCATTTTGACTTCCTATGGTGTACGCTCTGCGGACAGAGTGGGCAGAAGAGGTGAGTGGAGACATGCACGGGACTACTTGACCCTTTCAGCTCAACTCCATGGTGAGCCCTCACTCTACCAAGGATTGTGGGTTGAATCTGTTGAATTCTGATCTCTCATGGTGCATACGCCTGAGGGCAAATTTGGAACACATGAGTACAGATGTGCATCGCAGATGTACAGACCTTGACGTTGCCTTCAGGTTGGATCTTCCTTCATTTTCCTCCCCTTTTAATGCAACAGATGTTGCTGTTGGAGACGGGGGGTGTGTACTTAAATATTGTTTCCAGACTGAAGCTTTTGAGAGTGAACCTATATTTTCCCGCCATCATCGATTTTCTGTCTTCATCTCTCCTTCCCCCTTACCTCTCTTGTCACAAGTGCTTCTGCTGGACGAAGTCATAGTACACATAGATGTTGTCACCAGCTTATGCCTCTCCCCCTGTGACCTAAGTGTTCATTTATTTCTTTGCCTCCCCTTGCCACGGCTGGTGCTGCTGGGCTGAGGTCACAGTATACCTAGATGTTGTCGCCAGCTTATGTCTCGCCTTCATGCATTTGTTGTCAAAAGGCTAGGCAGAAAACGAGAAACAGGAAAGAGAGCTATTTTCACTAGCAGGCAGTTGAGTACATATAGCAAACCCTAATTTGGGCTATACTCGCTATAGAGTACCCCACTACAGGCTAGACAAACATCACGTTCTGACATTTGTCCCCCATGTGATGCCACAGGTGCTGCTGCTGGATGAGGTCACAGTAGACCTAGATTTTGTCAGCCGGAAGGAATCCCCTGTTATGACCTAAGTGTTAATTTCTTCCATTTCCCCTCCTTCCCTTGCCACAGGTGCTGCTGCTGGATGAGGTGACCCGGCCCTCAGATATCAGGATAAATTATCCTGATTACCCTGATTTCAGGATAGAGTTGGGGTGCCAGTGCTGGAAAATCAGGATAACATATAATACAGCCCTGAACTTTCAGCATTAGGCAGTATATAACACTGAGGAATCAGGATAAAGGTGTACCTATAACACTGAACAGTAGTGCCGAAATGCCTTATAACAAGTAGTTTACATTCGTATTACAGGTCCGCTAGGAGCGACGCAAGCGGGAATCGATCTCCCGACTCGCACCGTGACAATCAGCAGATACAAACAACTAGGCCACAAGCGAGCTGCCTGGAAAAGTTAGCGACAGAACTGTAACTTTACATGAAGCTTAAATGTAGCCCTGGAAAATCAGGGAAACCATATCATCCAGCGCTGAAGTCTCAGGATAAAATTTTATATTTTAGGGTACAGCCCTGATAGGTAAGGATACCCTGAAACCAATCTGAGGCCCTGAAGGTGACGGTGGACCTAGATGTTGTCGCCAGGATGGACCTCCTATCTTTCTTCCAACAAGAGTGTGAAGAGCAGGCCCCTAGATTCGTTTTGGGACACGCTGATGGCTCATAGTGCACCCTTCTCTAAACTCTGTCAGTCAGAGTTGCATCCAAATTTTAGTCTGAAAATTCAGACAACACTTGATTTTGTAGGCTGAAAGTTTAGAGTTACACTAACATTGAATGCTGCTTCCTTTATACTGCACCAACGCGACTGTGCTTCAGATTACAGCATTCCTGGCCCAACGCGACTGTGCGGTGCGGCCGCGCTCAGGAAATGTTTCGTTTCCCGCCCGTGATTGACGGTGTTAGTGCAAGACGCTGCCAGGCTGGCGGACCACTGCAGTACCCGTTTCAGAGTGCACCCCCGAAACAAGGCTGAGGCTCAGCCTACACCCCTAAAATTTGTCAGAAGTTTCAGCCACTACAATAAAAAAAATCTGGAAAATCAGAGAAGGTACATAAAAAAAAAAAAAAAAAAATCTTACAGTTTAGACCAGGTACAAAAAAAAAGTCTGAATGGACGCTGAATCAGCGTAAAAAGTCTGATATTTAGGGCACTGGTGAAGAGGTATGCTGTGATGAGTATAAGGTAGACCCGGGGAGGACAAAGCAACTCATGGAAAATGCAGTGCGTGGGATGACAATTGGCAAATTGAGCAGTGTTGTCCACCACCAAACATTGGTTGAGTGGTAGTCTGAGGTTTTGCACCAGCATCTCAGTGTTCCTGCTATTTTCACCTTCTTCTCCTTCCCCTTCCCATCCCCCTCTCCCCTTGGCAGAGAGAGGCTATAGTGGTGTATGCCACACACATATTTGATGGATTGGAGTCCTGGGCAAGCCACCTCGCTTTTGTCTCTTTTGGCAAGTTGCAGCGGTTGGATTGTGTGGAACATGTCAAACATTATATATATTACTGCTGTGTAGGCTACAGTGGGTTAGCCTTTAGGGGGTACAATACTCTAGGGTTTCCTACTTGTACTCCCAATGTTCCTAGTTCACACACTTCTCTCATTCTTCACATGGTATTACGAGCCTAGGTTAGGAACCTAGGACCGTTCCTAAGGGCCCACCGTTTCCGCTCGAAGCGCCCTCGTGCGCCGTCCCTTCCTAGCGCCCTCGTGCGCCTCGCTCCTAGAGCGCCCTCGCGCGCCCTTCTTTTCTCCTGTGCGGCCCGTTTTTAGGCCGCGTAGCCCGCTAGCCGCCCGCGCGCGGCCCGTTTTCTTCAGCGCGCGGCCCGCTAGCCGCTCGCGCCGTCGTCGCCGCCCGTGCGCAACCCGCTCTGGCCTCGTCAGGCTCTTAGCGCGGCCCGCTAGCCGCTCGTCGACCGCCGCGCGCCGCCACCGCGTCCTCTTAGGCCGCCGCTCGTGCCAGCCCGCCGCCGCACGATCGCCGCCGCCTGTGCAAGCCCGCGGCCCCTTCGCGGCCCCTCGCGGCTCTCCGCGGCGCTTTCGCGGCCCCTCCTTCGCGGCCCCTCGCGGCTCTCCGCGGCCCCTCGCGGCTCTTCGCGGCCCGCCGCGGCCGCCCTGCCGCCCCGACGTCGCCGCCCCAGCAGCAGCTGCCGTCGCATCTGCTGCCGCCGCTGCTGTTTGCTGCTGCCGCTGCCGTGGCACCCGCCGCCACCACTGCTGCCGTGGCAACCGCCGCCGTCGCTGCCGTCACAGCCGCAGTTCTCCGCAGCTGCCGCCACCGTCCCGGCCCTGCCCTGCAGCCGAGCCGCGGCCCTGCCCTGCCGCCCTGTCGCGGCCCTGATCCTGCTGGCGCACCTCGGCCCTGCCCCACCACTCGCGGGCTTCTACCCACCAGCCCCTGGTAAGCGCACCGCCGAGCCGCACCCCAACTGCTGCTGCTGCTGCTAGCCTGCTCCCACTGTTGCCATGGCTAGTCCTGCTGTTCTTACCTTCGATGCTGAGGGTCGTGCGATAGACTTTTAGGTCTGGCTTGAGAATCTGCAGCTTTTCCTGCAGTGTGATAGCAAAGACGATGTCTCGCTGTTCGACCTCACCTCTGGTGCCTCTCCTGCCCCTGCTAACGATGCTGACAGTACTGTTCGCTCTCGCTGGACCACACGCGATGCTGGTACCCGTCTTGCTGTGCGTAGTCACCTGCCGTCTGCTGAGCGTGCGCACTTTACTCAGTACAAGAGTGCTAAGACCCTGTACGACGCTGTCGTTGCGCGCTACTCCTCCCCTGCCTCTGGTGCCCTTAGTCGCCTCATGATGCCGTACCTTTTCCCTGACCTCGCCGCCTTTGCTACAGTCGCTGACCTCATTACGCACCTTCGCACTAGTGACATCCGCTACCACGCTGCGCTTCCTGCTGAGTTCCGCGCCCAGAACCCCCCCCCCCATGTACATCACCCTCTACTACCTAGTCACCCGGCTCCCTGACTCCCTTCGCTCGGTCAGGGACCACTTCCTTGCTGTCTGCCCCACCGCTCTCACCGTTGACCTCTTCGAGAAGGAGCTCCTTGCAGCTGAAATGAGCATCGTCGTTGTAGGAGCCTCTCGAGGTGACCCCCGTACCCCTTTCTTTGAGGGGTGCTCCCCCGTTCCCCTTTTGCCCTCTGTTGCCTCTGCTGCTGCTGTCGACCTCCTTGGCACTGAGTCGGTCGGCGCTGCGTCTGCCCCTAGCGGGAGGCGCCGCAGCAAGGGCAAGGGGGGCAAGGGTGCTGGAGGAGCTGGCGGGGGTGGTAGTGGTAGCGGTGGAGGCGGCGGGGGGGGGTGGGGGTGGCGGTGGAGGTGGGAGTGGTGGCGGAGGTGGGGGCTCTGGTGGCAGCGGTGGAGGCGGAGGCAGCGGCGGCGGCGGCGGTGGGAGTGGAGGAGGTGGCGGTGGCGGCGGTGGCGACAGTGGCGGCGGTGGCGGTGGCGCTGGTCGGGGTGGCTCCGTGCAGAGGGGAGGCTTCGGTGGTGGCCAGCGTCAGCAGCAGCAGCGCTCTCGTGAGGCCCCGCCACCCCAGCAGCTTCACCAGTGGTACGCTGGGCGTCAGCGGCCTGGGGGTGCTGGTCCTTGTACCTACGTCCTGCGTACTGGTGACCGCACTGGGGAGCTGTGTGGCGGCCCACACACCACCCAGCGCTGCTTCGGCCGCCTGACAGACGCCTGGCGTATCCGGTTCCCTGACGCCACTGAGCTCCCTCGCTGGCATGATCTGCTTAGGTCGGGGG